GCTAAACTTTTAAATCTTTGACCATCAATTTATATTAAAATAAAAATACAAAATCTATAAAACTTTATGATATTATGATTGTATTTTGCAAAGCAAATTTATCCATACCATTTTTCTTGTTTTAAAATTCGAATATATTATGGTTAATGCTTCTAAAGTTTTATTAGATTTTATCATAAATATCACGTAATAATGATCAAAGAGGATTCTGTATTGTATTGGCAACAACCGAAAATAACCACGGAAATAACTTCCATTGGTCTGATTATGTCGCTAGTAAAAAAAACCTATTGGCGCCGGTTGGGAACTGGCAATAGGTACCGGTTTCCCGTCCGGCTCCAATTGGTCGGCACCTATTGCTAGCACCGGCACCAATAGGTAAAATAGAACCGGCACCTTTACGTCTGCACGAGCCAAAAAAAAAAAAAACCTCCACATCCCGTGATCCCCTCCACATCCCAGAACAATATCCACACATCGAAAATCAAAATCCAAGGAACACGTCAATAACAACAACAATTCCTACATCCATTTAACTATAATATTCATCCGATCCAAATCCGCATATTCTCGGTACACATATGAACAAGAGAACTTGAGAGAAAAGAACACACTCGAACCACAGCGGCCTTGAGGATGATGCGGCGGCTATGAGGCCCTTGGGTCACCGGGATGGCGGTGGTGGAGGAGCGCCGCTGCCGCTGCCGCCTTTGTCGGGCCGCGGGAGACTGCCGCCTCCCCTTCCACCGGATCTGGCAGAGGGGAGGGTGCGGCAGCCACCACCACCTCCGGGCAGCCGCTGGCCTCGGGAGCACGCCGCCACCGCCGGACAGCTGCGGGAGACCGCCACCTCCCCTCCCGCTAGATCGGGCGGAGGGGAGGGCGCCGCAGCCGCTGCTTCCGCCGGGCATCCGCCCGCCTCGGGAGGCCGCCGCCACCGCCGGGTAGTCTCCGTCTTTAGAGAGACGCGAGAGGGAGAGAGTCAGAGAGACGCGAGAGGGAGAGGAGTTGCGAGAGCAAGTGGATAAGGACACGACGACGTGGGTGGCAGTAGATAAGGATGACATACGGCGCTCGGCTCGTCTGCTCGGGTCGTTTTGTATAGGTGCCGGTAAAATAACCGGCACCTATAACATATTATACATGTCGGTTTTTTAATAAACCGGCACCTATAATATATCATATGTGTCGGTTCTTTTAAAAAACTGACACATATAGTATTGGTACCGCTTTTTACTAATGAACCTGCACCTATAGTGTCTTAAAGGTGCCGGTTCTTTTTTTTTCCACGTGTGGAGGTGAGAAAAGGCCTATAGGTATCGGTTTTAAAGGAACCGGCACCTATAAGACTGATCCCTATGAGGATTTTTTAGTAGTGTCTTAGATACAACATATAAAAAATAATACTTTATTCGACTATACTGACAAGAAAATTAATAAGATAGGAAGCATATATAGCGACTTAACGATGCTGTAGTGGGCACCATAGCATATATTGAGTTGGATACGGAGGAGGACATGCGCGTGCAGCGGAGCTAGAATTTTGTCAAGACTAAAGTTTAAATAGTATAATCTACGTAAAATTTATATTTTATGTTCTATTTCTTAAAATTTTGAAGTATAATTTCGATGAATATTCGGGTCTTGGAGCAGGGTTCTAGCGCCCACTCGTATATCCGCCGGCAGCTGTGGTCTCCGATCCGTCGCCCTCATCATCATCAGTGCTATGGTTTATTTTTCTTTCTTGACAAGCACTTCGATGTTACAGCCTTGAGCCCTTGACTCCAGAGGCAAACGATTTTGTTACTATTCTCCAGAAGATACCACGGTTTATTGTTACATATTCTAAGTGTTCACACTTGTTGATGTGACAAATATTGAAAAGCTAGTGAAAGCGTCTCGTGTTTGTAGAAAGGGGAGACGGTTGGCATCTCCCTGAAAATTCTTCGGATATTCCTATAGTGAAAGCGTGTTCTCAGTGGATGAAAGTTCAGTTTATAGATATTTTCATCTTTTTAAAATTTGGCATTGCCAAAATTTTGATAAATTACCAACATTATTAAATTTTAGTACAATAGACTAAATGTGATTTGTTAAATTCTCTAGACTGACCAATACTCCATCCGTCCCATATTATAAGGGATTTTGGGTCGATGTGACGTATTCTAATACTACGAATCTGGACAGCGTATTTGATAACAAACTAAATGCCTTTATATATTTATAATTCTACCAAACAATAATATATGGTTTAAAATAGCACCGATCTGGACAGATCCCAAGGATATACGATGGATGTAACCACGTCAGTTTGTTTTAAAATATAAAGAGCATGGATGAAGGTTGAAAAGGCTCTAATATCCCTTAATAAGAGATATGTGGGGGTAGGAAGGTAGGTAGAGATAAAATGAGAAGAATTTTAAATATTAGATGATTAACCGTGCTCTGCCGCGGGATATATGTGAGATATTGTAGAAATGATTAAATGATTTTGGATTGAAATATTGTGAAAATAATTTGATAATGATGATTTAGCATGTGTATGTTTAGTTTTAGAATTAAATAAGTTGTAGATTATGTTTGCTTGTATGTTAAACTTTGTGTGCTTAGTGGGTTGATGTGGCATGCTCGTATGTTGATTTTAGGAATGCTAATAAATACTACTCCCTCCATCCTATAATATAAGACGTGCACATATTTCAATATTCAACCTCTAAAACATTTTACCAACACTTAGTATAATATAAAATGAATTTTGTTTATTAAAATTTATATCATTAGATTGAGATTTAAATTTACTTTCATATGGTTATAATTTTGTTGTTATAAACTTGGTAGTATATGAAAAATTATAAGCTAAAAATTAGTTTTGGAGACCATGTCAACTTTGACCATGTCTTATATTATGGGATAGAGGGAGTATGTTGTATGTTGAGATTTAGGTGTTTAGTAGGCATTAGCTTTATAGAAAAAAAGAGATAAGGTGATTGATGAGAAAAGTAGTACTGTGGATGGTAGAAATCCTTATATTTTAGCACAATATAAAATGGAAAACTTCTTAATAAATCAATTTTGGCGTTGCCATTTTTTGGTAGCGCTGGATGTGTATAGTTTGTTGCAATTTCAAATTTTAATATTATTTTTGTGAAATAAAAATTTCGAAACTACCAAAGTTTTGATAAGATAGCATTGGCAAAATTGTTTGGTAACGTTGATTCGGGTGACAGATCATGAACCGTTGGATCTAAAACTTGGGCGGTGGATGCACGTTACAGGTGCCAGCCTAACTAATTTCAACCGAGCAGACACGCAACGCCAGCGGCGGCGGCGACCGGCGGTGGCGGTGGCGGCGGCGGCGGCGGCCGGCGGGACTTCGCTTCTTTTGTCTCCTCCTCGACGAATTGTCTCCGGTATTCCGGCAGCGATTTTTCCATTCAGGTAATCCTCAATTCCTTTTGCTTGCTGCCTTCCGCCAGATTTTTCCTCTTCCTCGTATGCAATCCCAGTTAGAGTTCGATCGCAGTAATTAACCCCGTGACTAGAAATCTTCCAGCATCAGAATATGTAATTAGTTTTATTAGAGAAGAATCCGTGATTAGTTCGGTGCGTGTAAAGGTAGTCTGCAACATTGATTGATTTCGCCCGCCAACCGTTCGACGAAATGACAGAGCCGAAGAGGTACTGTTCTCCTACATTAATAACCATATAACCTTGTAGATGTACAAATAGTTGGTGTCTTACCTCAGATGGTCAATATAACGATCGTGTTGAAGGGACTGAGCCATCTGCATGATTTATTTCTTTTAAGGAAAAAGTAGTTATGCCTTTTTCTATATTCATTATTTCAAAATAATGACACCACATATGTAAAGTTCGGATGGCCTAGAACGTGTGAGGGTATTTGCCCAAACTAATGAACTGCAGTGTGACTTTTTTTGTTAGCTCAGCATATACAAAATATGAAACCTGTAAAGAATAAGTTTGAAAAAGCTGCAATTTTAATGACAACTATCATCTTGCTACAACATTAGCGACACATTTCACTTAGCTACAACAATAACGAATGGAATTATCAGAGAATTGCAACTCCATTAGACCCTGAGGTTTTTGACTAGGCAGCCCACTTGTCATACTAAGCGTGCTTGGAGGCCGTGAAATATGCTGCAATTGAGAACTACATAGCTCTCAGACATAATTATCTTTTTCATGCATACAATGCTGTCTGCTTTGTTGCTTAAATTAGAACAACCACATATCAGTGATAACATATCACTTCTTTATTTAGCTCATACATGCCTCATTATTAATATTAGTTTACTAAATGTTGCTGGGTTGACCAAGAGTCACTACCAAACTATTCTGCCAATGTATAAAATTGCTCTCTCACAAGGTTGTTTCCTGTTGTGGCCTCCCCATATCACTAGAATTGTAATTCCGAAACAGATACCAAACCCCAATGCTGTGAAGAGAAAGAGTAGAACATCTATGGAATTCTTCTCAGCAGTGTGTGACATCATGTTTGGTTCAGTTGGATAACCGCATTGTTTAGACAACGGAGGTCCACACAACCCAATATTCCCCACAAAAGAGTCATTGGAAAATGTGGAGAAGTGTAATGATTGTGGTATTTTTCCATCCAACATATTATAAGACAAATTCAATATTGAAAGGAAGTTCAATGATGCCAGCTCCTGCGGGATCTCACCAGAAAGCTTATTCGAGGAGAGGTCTAATGTCTCAAGGTTGTCTAATTTGCCAAATTGAGTGGGAATTGGTCCTGTAAGGACGTTATGAGACATGTTGAGCCCATGAAGTAACACAAGTTCTTCAATGCCGGCAGGGATGTTACCATGGAATTTATTGTTTGAGACATCGATGAGTACAAGTGACGTTAAAATCTTGGAAAATGTCATGTGACTGCCTTTGTATGTGACTGCAACAGTAAACTTGTACCTCTCCCGGGGATAGAGATGTTCCATGACTGAAGTTCCATTATCAGAGCTGGACATCATAGACCTAAGCATCTTAAACCACTCTTCTGGCAACGTGCCACTGAAGTTGTTTGAGGCTATGTCGGCAATCCGCAAACTTGTAAATTGACAGTTATTCCCGTATCTAGTATATGAAGGATCCAGTACCTGCCCAATGAACTTGTTAGACTGGAGGACCAGGACTCGAAGCACAGGAAGTTTACTCATCCAACAAGGGAAGGAATCACTAATCTGATTGTTTCCAATGTCAAGGATCTCCAGATTCCTGCAAGCAACTAGAGATCTGGGTAGCTGTCCTTGAATCAGATTGTCGCTAAAATCCAATGCACTTAATGCACAACCTTCTTTGATATTATCAGGCAACTCGCCATCAAGCTTATTTCCTTTTAGATTTAAGACTTGTAGTGCACCTACATCCTCCATCAGACATGATGGTATTGATCCAGTCAAGTTGTTATAAGAGAGATCAATAATTTGTAAACTCTTAATTGCATCACAAATCGTTGGTGGAATGTATCCAGAGAGGCTATTTCTGGAGACCTTGAAAATTACTGTATTCATAAGGTAAGTAGAGAAATTAAGAGGCATAGGCATAGATGAGAATCGGTTGTTTGAGTAATCAAGTGTGACACTTCCTTGTTCTGGTATAGGTATGGTGCCTTCAAAATTGTTGAAACTGAGATCTAAGAACTCAATGTAAAGATTAAGCAAAGGATCAGGTCCAATGCTCCTAAGGTTATTATGTGATAGGTTCAGCAAGGAAAAGTCCATCGTCCAGGTCTCCCATGTCCACTGAGGTATTGCACCTTGCAGTTGGTTATATGAAAGGTCGAGACTAGTAATCTCAGGGAGATGCCTCAAGATGTTAGGAAAGCTAGATATGCTACAAGATGCGAGACGTAAGAAGCTAATACTGGGATATGACACTAGAGAAGAATTATTTTCTCCATCTATCACAATTAGTTTATTGTTTGAAAGATTCAGGACATACAGGTTTTGCAGTTTTGAGTATGAGGTTAGTTCCACTATCCCGACAAAACTGTTTGAATGGAGCAGGAGGGTTTCCAATTTAGTCAAATTTAAGATCAGTGAAGGTATCTCGCCTGAAAACTGGCAATTGTACAGTGCCAATTTTGTCAATTTTGTTAAGTACCCTATGGACGATGGTATGGGTCCAGACAATCCACAAGTGAAGAACTTGAGAACATTAAGAGAAGTCAGGTTTGAGATCCATGATGGTATGGATCCTACTAGATCTAACCCAGACACCTCTAGTAAAGATAAGGATTTCATCTTACCGATGGAGGATGGCAGCACTCCAGAGAAACCACTAGCTCCAAGAGCCAACTTCTTCAGAGATTTGAGGTTGCTGATAGAACTTGGAATTGTGCCGGAGAAGTTGGTGTTGCTGACAGATATACTCTGTAAGACACTCTCACCTGAGAAATTAGGCAAATTTCCGGAGATTCCAAGATTTTTGGTGAGGTTAATAGTTGTTAATTTCTCGTGCTGGAAGATGATGGGAGGGAACCATCCCTCAAACTTGTTGTTTGAAAGCTGAAGGACACTTAGGTTGGAGAGAGTAGCCAAGAACCCAGGAACTGGACCAGATAAATGATTGTAGTGCAGCTCTATCACTGCAAGTGATCGCAAGGCTGAGAGTGAGTGGCAAATGGGACCGGAGAGTGAGCAGTACGGCATGCTAATGACCCTCAGCTTCGGGGAGGACCTGGCCATGGCGTCGCACCACCGTGCAGTGCCGTTGCTCGACATGTTCTTCACCACCACCATGCCCAGGCGAAGCTCCTCCAGGTTGGTGAGGTTTGCGAGCAAGGTCTCCAAGCTCGACTCCGAGAGCTGTGCCATTGTGTCCGAGTAGTAGTACGTGATGCTGTACTCGTCGTCCAACTCCTCTACAAAAAATGTTGTCGACAGGTCAAGGTAGGAGAGTCTGGTGAGGCGGCCGATGCCGGCAGGTACCAGGCCGGCGAAGTTTGTGTTGGAGAGGTCAAGATGGGTGAGCCCGGTGAGCTTCTCGAACCCTGTGGCTGGCATCTGGGACTTGCCGAAGTCGTTGGAAGAGAGGTCAAGGTATTCTAGCGAGGTTAGGCTGAAGAGTGCGTCGTCAAGACCTGAGGCGGCTTGCAAATCACGGTGGCTCAGGTCGAGCGAGGTGACACGGCCGCCGGCGCCGCCGCACCGGACGCCGTCCCAGCTGCAACAGTCTGCGCCGGCAACGGCAACCCATGACCGGAAGGCGGCAGAGTAGTCACCGATGGTGGCGTTGAAGGAGCGTTTCAGCTGGAGCAGCGCCGCTGCCTGGTCTGGGAGGCACGCAGCCGGTGCTACTGCTTCCGTGGAGCTTGTATGGTCAGCAAGGACGAGGATGAGTAGCATGGCTAGCAGAGGCATCAGATGGTAAGCAGATCGCATGTTGAAGAACGTACGGCTGGGTTGGGTTTGTTTTCTACGTACTGATCTATGGCACACAAAATACAGGTACATCTACTTGCACTTATACATGTACTCCCACTGTCCAGTTTAGAAAAGTCTTTGTTTTGATTGTCCATGATTATTGCTTTAACTTTTTGGATTAAAACATGCCAATTAATGACTATATTTCCAACACAAAAGAGCGTCAAATAAGCAATTATCTCTTTTTAATAAATCCATAGGTGAAAAACTATGCAAACAAGGAAACAAATTAAGTTCACTTGCACGCCTTGATCTGCAACAAGTTGAAAAACACTAGATTCCTTGTAAAAATATCTGAAAGACAAGTTGATAGGCAACAGTATTAGATAGCTCTCAAATGTAAACATATCTTTTCATGGATACAATATTGCCTGCTTTGTTGCTTAATTACATTGTCCATAGTATTATCCTTCCATGGTAACATAATCATCCTTTATTTAATTCATACATCACTATTCATACTACTCTTTCTGACTGTTGCTAGAGTGATCAAGAGTGACTGACAAAATATTCTGCCATTCTATAACATGGTTCCCTCTCAGGCTTGCTGCTTCCTGTTGTTGCTTCCCCATATCACTAAAATTGTAATTCCAAAGCAGACACCAAATCCCAACCCAGTGAAGAGAAAAAGTAGAACATCTATGGGATCCTTCTTGGAAGCATGTGGCATGATGTTTGGTTCAGATCGGTAGCTACATTGTTTAGACAATGGGGGTCCGCAGAGCCCAATATTTCCCTCAAAAGAGGCATTGGAAAATGTCGAGAAGTGTGACGATTGTGGTATTCTTCCAGCCAACATATTATAGGACAAATTCAATGTTGCAAGGAAGTTCAACGATGCTAGCTCTTGTGGAATCTCACCAGAAAGCTTATTTGAGGAGAGGTCCAACGACTCAAGGTTGTTCAAATTGTCAAACTGAGTTGGAATTGGCCCTGTAAGCATGTTATGAGACATGTTGAGTCCATGAAGCAACGCAAGTTCCCCAATGCTTGAAGGGATGCTACCATCGAATTCATTATTTGAGACATCAATGAGCACAAGTGATCTCAAGATCTTGGAAATTGTTATGTCATTGCCTTTGTATGTGAGTGCAGCAGTAAACTGGTATGTCTGGCCGTGGGAATACTGATGTTCCATGACTAAAGTCTCGTTATCTGACCTGGTCATCATGGACTTGAGCATCTTAAACAACTCTTCTGGCAATGTGCCACTGAAGTTGTTTGAGGCTATGTCAGCAATCCGCAACATGGAAAATTGACAGTTGTTTCCATCTCTGGTATACAAAGGATCCATTATTTTCCCATGGAACTTGTTAGACTTGAGGACCAAGACTTGAAGTTCAGGAAGTTTACTCATCCAACATGGGAAGTGGTCACTAATTTGATTGTTGCCGATGTCAAGGATCTCCAGATTCCTACAGGCAACCAAAGATCTTGGTAGCTGTCCTTGAATCATATTGCCGCTGAAGTCTAATGCACTTAATGCACAACCTTCCTTGATATTATCAGGTAACTCGCCAGTAAGATGGTTTTGTTTTAGACTTAATACCTGCAATGCACTTGCATCTTGCGTCAGACATGATGGCATTGAGCCTGTCAAGTTGTTATTAGAGAGATCAAGTAGTTGTAAACTCTTAATTGCATCACAAATCGATGAGGGAATGTTTCCAGAGAGGCTATTGTCGGAGGCTTTGAGAACGACTGTATTCTTAAGGTAACTGGAGAAATTAAGAGGCATAGATGAGAACCGGTTGGTTGAGTAATCAAGTGTGATACTTCCTTTTTGTGGTACTGGTATTGCTCCATCAAAATTGTTGAAACTGAGATCAAAGTATTCAATGTAAAGGGGAAGTAAAGGATTGGATCCAATACTCGTAAAGTTATTATGTGATAGGTTCAACAAGAAAAAGTTCATCGTCCATGTCTCCCATGTCCACTGAGGTATTGCACCTTGGATCTGGTTATATGAAAGGTCAAGACTAGTAATATAAGGGAGATGCCTCAAGATGTTAGGGAAGCTAGATATGCTGCAAGATGCTAGACGTAAGAAGCTAATACTGGGGTAGGACACTACTGAAGAACTATTTTCTCCATCAACCACAACTAGTTTATTATTTGAGAGATTGAGGACAGAAAGATTTTGCAGTTTTGAGTATGAGGCTAGCTCCACTGTGCCAATAAAGTTGTTTGAATGGAGCAGGAGGGTTTGCAAGCGAGTCAAATTTGATATCAGCGCAGCTACCTCTCCTGAAAAGTGGCAATTGTACAGTGCCAATTCTCTCAATTTCGTTAAGGATCCGACAGAAGCAGGTATTGGTCCGGACAAACCACAATGGAAGAACTTGAGAACATTCAAAAAAGTCAGATTTGAAATCCATGACGGCATGGATCCTTGTAGCTCTAACCCAGACACCTCTAGTATATGTAAAGATTTCAGCTTACCAATGGAAGATGGCAGCATTCCAAAGAAACCACTAGCTCCAAGTGCCAACTCCTTCAGATATTTGAGGTTGCTGATGGAAGCTGGAATTGTGCCGGAGAAGTTGGTGTTGCTCACAGATATACTCTGTAAGTAACTGTGAGCAGAGAAATTAGGCAGTTTTCCGGAGATCCCAAGATTATTAGTGAGGCTAATACTAGTTAATTTCTGAAGCTGGAATATGATGGGAGGAAACACCCCTTCAAGCATGTTATTTGAAAGCTGAAGAACAGTAAGGTTGGAGAGAGTAGCCAGGAGCTCAGGAACTGGACCAGACAAATGATTGTAGTGCAGCTCTATCACTGAAAGTGATCGCAAGGCCGAGAGTGAGTGGCAAATGGGACCGGAGAGTGAGCAGTACGGCATGCTAATGACCCGCAGCTTTGGGGAGGACCTGGCTATGGCGTCGCACCACCGTGCGCCGTTGCTTGACATGTTCACCATGCCCAGGCGAAGCTCCTCCAGGTTGGTGAGGTTTGCGAGCAAGGTCTCCAAGCTCGGTTCCGAGAGCTGTGACATTGTTTCTGAGTAGTAATAGGTGATGCTGTTCTCCTCGTCCTGCTCATATAGAAAGAATGTTGTAGACAGGTCAAGGTAGGCCAGGCTCTTGAGGCGGCCGATGCCAACGGGTACCCGGCCGGCGAAGTTGGTGGTGCAGAGGTCAAGATGGGTGAGCTCGGCGAGCTTCTCAAACCCAATGGCTGGGAGCTTGGACGCACTGAAGTCGTTCCAAGAGATGTCAAGGTACTCGAGGGAGGTTAGACTGAAGAGTGCATCATCAAGACCTGAGGCTTGCAAATCACGGTGACTCAGGTCGAGGGAGGTGATATGGCCATCGGATCCGCCACAGCGGACGCCATTCCAGTGGCAGCAGTCTGTGCCGGCGACCCATGATCGGAAGGCCGCGGAGTAGTCACCGACCGTGGTGTTGAAGGAGCGTTTCAGCTGGAGCAGCGCCGATGCCTGGTCTGGAAGGCATGGAACTGGCGCCGCCATGGACTGAACATGTAGGAGGATGGGTAGCATGGCCAGGAGATGCATCAGATGGTAAGAAACTCTCTTGGAGTTGGACAACATGTCGGAAGGTTGGGTTTGTTTCAACTCTATGGCACACATGAATAAACACAGTTACATCTGCTTGTACTTATGTATTATAGAACAACATTTTAGTCAAACGTTTGAAACCTTAGGGTTTTTTTTTTTGTTTTATAGTTTCAGGCTGTGTTTAGTTCACGTCAAAATTGGAAGTTTGTTTGAAATTAGAACGATGTGACGGAAAAGTTGGAAGTTTATGTGTGTAGGAAAGTTTTGATGTGATGGAAAAGTTGGAAGTTTGAAGAAATATTTCGGAACTAAACACGGCGTCAAACGGAGAATACTCCCTCTTGCGCGTCTGACAAAAGACACAAATATCGGGCGCTCCTCACTATCCTCATTCCTCAGCACTCGTTTCTTATCTGCAACCAACACCTCTCCCTCTCTTCTCCCACTCCCTCCTCTTCCCCTTCTCCATGGCCAGATGGTTAGCACAGGCAAGTGCGGGAGGCGAGGTCCCTCTCCCTCTCCCTCCCTTCTCACACTCCCTCCACTTCTCCTCTATGACCGGACAGTGAGTGTAGACGGGTGTGTGAGGTGACCTCGCAATGGCGGGATCGGATGAGACAAGGTCATGGTGGAGCTTGTGACTTCGCACGAGTGAAGGAGGTCGTTGGGGGAGAGGGAGGTCCGACACGCTTAGGGTGACGCGTGATGACGGCGTGGTCAACTGTGTTGGGGAAGGTGATGTGCACGGTGCTATGTGATGATTTTTGTCTTATGCGCTGTGTAGTAACCAAAATAAAAATTTTCACGTTGTCACATTGAATATTTGGATATATGCATGGCGTATTAAACGTAGGAAAAAACCAATTACATATATTGCATATAAATTGCTAGACGGATCTTTTAAGCATAATAGTGCCATGATTTGATAACATGGTGCTACAGTAAACTTTTACTAATGATGAATTAATTAGGCTTAATAAATTCGTCTCGCAGTTTCCTAGCGGAATCTGTAATTTATTTTGTTATTAGAGTACGTTCAATACTTTAAATGTGTGTCCGTATATCCAATGTGACAACTAAATCCAAAAATTTTTCCCAACTAAACCAGGCCTTAGCTCCCAGATCTACACGGTAGCTGTCCTTCTTATCCTCTTGCGTTCCAGGAGGCTGGCGAGCTCGAAGAGGACTTCGTCACTTCACTGCCAGGAGCACGTAGGGGAGGAGCACAGTAAGAATGGATGGGTGCGTTGTGAATTTTCAATACCTTAGTCCAATCATCATGATGTTTCATTACTTCGATAAAAATCTTGCACTGGGTTTTAATGGTGTTTTATTTTTTTTCTTTGATTTCACTCAGATCTATTGATGTTTCAATAGCTTAAAAATTGCTTGTTTCATACGTGGAAGCAAATTATTTCATCTAGTGCTAATTGTGTTTCACTCTTTTCAAGAGTTGAAATATTTTGTTGAGTGCTAAAACATTATTTTAAGAGTTGAAATACCGATCGTTTTAGAAAAATCGGACACCTGATTTATAGCTGTGTTAAATAGATACTACTACATAATCGATTTTTGCATGCGGTCAGAATTGGTTTTCGCAAGTAGCTAGGCGCCCCTCCTCTACGCAGGTGTCTGCGGAAATCAACCTTTTCGCAAGAGGGTAACGCAACCGCTCGCGAAAACTGTATTTTCGCACGCGGGCGCACTAAGTTGTCCGTTTGAAAAACAAGTTTGAAGAAAAAAAAATCCTAAAACCAAAAATCTAGAAACATGCCGTCGCAAGATCCGACACCACCGCTTGGATCTGTGGTCGTTGTTGCTCAAAGCCACCGTCGTCACGCACGGATCTGTTGTAGTCGTCATCATGCGGAAGCTTCCACCTCCGTCGCATCGGGATCCACCACCGTTGTCGTCACTCAAAGGAGCTGCGCCGTCCTTGCTCGAAGCCGCCGCATTGTCGTTGTCGTTGTGCGGAAGCCACCACCATTGTTGCGTCTAGATCCATCTTCGTCAGTGTCGTTCGAGGGAGGCGGAGAGGCAGCGGAATCTGCGCGGGAAGGAGAGATGCCACCAGATCCGCCCGTCCCATCGCCGCAGTGGGTGGATCTAAGTGTGTGGGGGCGAAAGGTAGCAGGATCCGCACGATCCGAGGCCGCTGTCGCCTCCTGAGCAATGCAAGTCATTGCCGCTCTCGCCGTTGCGGCCGCTAACCCGAGTTAGAGGAGGCCAGACGAGAGTGGGAAAGAGAGGATGGGAGGAGGGAAGAAGTGGGAGAGATATGGAGAGTGTGGAGGAAAAGGAGTGCAGCAAAATTAGTGGGGAGAGAGGAGGCGGGAAAAAAAAGAGCGAAGAGAAGAGAAAAGGGGAGGGTAGAGAAAAAGTGCAGCATGGAACTGCATTTGGAGGAGAGAAACCCTAACTGCGAAAATAAATTTTCATGTGGCATGCTTTAACTAAGCACCATCATAATCATTTTTACATGTTAGTGTTATTGTAGTTCGCCTGCAATTAAATAGGAGGTGAGCCAGCAAAATTCATTTTTTTTGAAGTAGTGTGAGACTAGTACGAAACTAATGAGTATTTCTATAAGGTCGTAATAATTATATCTGGTTAACAAATACAATAGAGGAAAACTGATACATGAAAATTATTAATGGTGATGGTTATTGTCCGCCGAAGCCTCATTCAGCCAACTGTTCATATGTGTTGCTATCATGTCTTGATTTGAAAGGTACTACCTCTGTTTCAGGTTAGAAAGTACCTCTGTTTCAGGTTATAAAACTTTCTAGCATTGCCTACATTCATATAAATATTAATGAATCTAGACACGCGCGCGCGCGCGCACATATATATATATATATATATATATATATATATATATTCATTAACATATATATAAATGTGAGCAATGCTAAAAAGTCTTATAATATGAAACGGAGGAAGTAGAAGCGTAGAACGTAGGATGGGTTGATGGGAATGGAATATGACACGAGCCGTGTCAGTCCGTCTGTAGTATATGACCGTCGGTGTTGGATCGCGCTCCTCTGACGTAAAGTCAGAGGGACGTGGGTCACTGATGTCAGAGAAGACTTATCCGCGTTGGTGTTTAACTTGCTCTCGTGTTCTGATGCATTTGGACGGTTTGTCATTTTTATTTATTTTTTGCATAATTCGTTTTAATTTTTTTTAGTTTTTAGCACCAAAAGTTTTCATTTTCCCTAATAGCATTAAAAATTATTATTATTATTTTTCATATTTTAAATATTTCACTAATTTTTGTGGAAACCCTTAGTGTTGGTCGGCGGATGAAAAAAAAGATCAATTGGGCGCTCTCCTCGCCGCTTATTCTCAACTCCTCGCATCTCTCTTCCTCTACATCCTTATCCATTCGCCTTCTCCCTCTTGCGCTCTCTCTCCCTCTCTCCTCATCCTTTCTCATCTCTTGTCTTCTCGCCTAGTCTGTGAGCATTGGAGGCGTGGGGCACGGAGACCCTGGAGGCGAGGTTGGCGCTGCGGAAGGTCGTCATCACCAAGCTGCCCGTAGCCTTGTCGTCGGCGGGGCGGCAACATCGCACGGGCGGAGGCCGGCAGCAGGATGCGCTCCTTGCTCGATCCCTCCCTTGCTGCCTGCTGCTGGATGGGGGAGCTCGCAGCACATCGGAGGAGAGAGAAATTTAGTTGGATTGTCTTGTGCTTTTATGTGGCCCTATTGAAGAGGAGGAAGAAATCAAATTTCGACTGGTACAATTTTGAGTTTTTGATGTTTCAGCCAATGTATATGGATTTTTTTGGGTTTGGATTGAAATGTTGTACTTGATACTTCGATGGTGTTTCATATTTTTATTTACTAGTGAGTGTGCACGTGCAAGGCACGTTAACATATATTGAATGGAGTAAATTGAGAAAAAACACCCAATGCATGTGAACCTTAATAAAATGATGATAATAGTTGCACTGTTAGATAGATAGATACTTCTGTTCAAATACCAAAATTAAAGGAAGAGGTGGATATCAATCCCAACATAAAGTAATAGGTGGATATCAATGTATCAAGTAGTATATACAATATTCATGAAGGCCAGAAACAATCAAACATGTGGAGTACGCATTAACCATAAAGGCCAGTTAGCAGTCTTGTACATAACAAATAGAAGCAATTAACCTGTATGTGCATGTGCAAATATTTACATATGGAGCCTAGTCCTTGTAGAAGTTACCAACATCTATCGGCCTTCTTGAGCAGCGAGGAGTAGTCATCACTAACATCTCTCTTCTGTCCATCAGGAGTTGAGAGCAACGTCAACAATAAGTATGTGGTCCTATCCTATAGACAAACAATTGTATAAAGTTAAACATGTATTGGTCACTTTGAAAATCAGTCCAGCATTCTTGAAAGAATGAATAAGATGTGCAATAACATTCTTACGGCACTGCTGTATACATAATGGATACATGAATATGTACCTGAATTTTACCATTAATAATGTTGATTTTTGCTTCATTTGCTGAATCAAGCAACTCATAGGAACAACATCATCCATATCTTAGCAAGCTCGATCGTTGCAGTTTGCAATCCTCTTTGGTGAGGCGCCTAGCTATCACAATAGGTTGTCGAGGCTGAATTCTTTGGTAAGGCACCTAGCTATCACAATAGTTTGTCGATGATGCATTCCTGCTTTAAATAATCAGAACAACAATGATGAGCATGTTAATTAGTTGCAGGAAAAAAATTATTGCACAGCTATATATAGATTGCAATCAAGATTGATTACTTTGGGCTCGTGAAGTTGCTTTGCTCTGGTTGCTTTACCAAGCAGCTAAAAGTAAGTCAACCATATCTGGAAGCCTCGCTGTTGTTCTCTGTAAATGGGAGACGTCCGAGTGTCATAACAGGTTGTCGATTCTCGTTTCCAAAATAAAATGTTTATTGCAAGAATATTGACTTGATGACTTATACTAATGTTCATTATATATACTATTAACATTAAATGAAGTGAACACGATATCCACAACAGTTGTATAAGCAGACTTGCCTATGGTGCTTGATGCCTCCTTGTGCTACAATTAATGGTTCTTTTTTATTCTTACTTCCTTCTGCTCGGCAATGGGGGAGGCGTACCTCTCTATAGCATGCTTTCTTCTCAACTCGAGTGCACTAAATTGTTAATATGGCCAAGCAGACATTTCTAGTTAGTCTGTATTGGTAAATTATTAAACCTTAATTGCACATGTTGTCATATAGAGAAGCGATTGAAATATTCAAATATGTGATAGATCATGAATATGGAAAACATAAAAAAAACATTGACATGTAAAAAACAGTCTAGAAGCAGAGCATGACCAATATGCAGGATCAATATATGAATTTCCCAGCTGCTCTAATTCAGTTAATTTCCATTAGCGCAATATGTGTCAATGCGATTTACTCAAAGGCAAAACATATTAGCAAATAAACCGAAACAATATGTGTTTTTACCTGGCCATGCAGCCGATTACGATGTAGAGCTTCATGTGATGTCCATTGAAGTAGGGCGAGAGAGGAGATGAGTGCATTGAATCACATTAAGGCGCACAATTGACATAGTTCATTGAGATGTAACTCGAGTACTTAGCCAAGATAATCAGTGGCAATAAAATAGAGATGGGCATTGGGTAGTCTGCGAGCTTGAGATTCCAAAAAAAAAAAAGAATAATCAATATGACACTCTATTTAAGAAATAAATTAGGAAATTATAATATTCATAAAACGAAATGAGTTCAACTATAAACAAAAATAAAAGTAAGATTGAGGCATCAAGGTGTGACTACAAGTTGGATGTTTTTAGTGCCTTAATTGATCGAGCATCACACTATTCAGAAAAATTCATCAAAATAAAATTATCTCATGTTTTGTACAAAATCTCAGAATTTTAGTAAATAGGATTCACATTCCCTTGCATTAATGTAAATTTTGTACAGCTTAAAAAATAAATCCCTTCTAGGTTGCTATGACACAGTTCAAAATTGCTAACAAGTGCAACAAAAGAGGAAATGGCCATGCAGATACAAAAATTGGTAATTGTCTTTAAAACAAATTCAGCAGTAGCCCATCAATAGATTTATCAGTAGCACAATGCCTTAGGAATATAGGATATGGAATATTTTTGCAAGTTTACCATGCCAATGATTAATATCACAAGTGGAGCATCACAGAAAAGTATTTCCTCTCATGTTTATAGTGTACAGTTGGTACTAATTACGCACCCTAAGTCATGTTTCCAACCGATAAAAGTATGGTTCGCTCAAACACATTGATGCACTCTGCTGGGCCGACACTGACACTGAGAGACGAAAGCTAGGGGAGCAAATGGGATTAGAGACCCCAGTAGTCCTAGCCGTAAACGATGGTACTCTTGTTTCTACAGTGACAGCTTCTTAATACTTTCCTACCATTGACAAAAAAAACTATGTAATCATGAAGGATAGTGTAAAAAACTATGTAATCATGAGGTAATTGGCAAGGGCGATTGAAGTGGCAAGAAGATGATGTATACAACAACAGTACAACAGATGAGGTGTTATTTTTACCGTGAATTGGAGAATTGGGTGATGTTGTAGCTTTGTTGCTGCTGGTCGTCGGGCTTCTTGTGGGACGGGTTGAAGGCGACCTGCTCGGCGCAATCGCGGTTGTCACCAGAGTGCTCGCGGACGACACCCATGAGGTCGAGGTTGTACTGGTAGTTGGAGATAAAAATGTTCATGTCGTCGATGTAGCCCTTGCCGTAGATCTGGTTTGCACTACCAATTCAGAATTGCACTTCCTTTTCCATGCCAACAAAACACAGGCTAAAAACTGATAAGATAGTTCTAATAACACTAAGAGGGGAAATCCTTGCATTATATAACCTAATTTTCATCACATTGCTGATGGAAACCAAGTTTCTATGTGAGTGTTTAACAAAGTTGCAAAAGCACAACATGTACTTTCCAGTAAGTCTAAGGTATTGAATTAATTTTCTAAGTTGAGAGAACATTACATCCCCATAGTAGCATTATAACCCTAACCATTATAAATATGCGTTAGGTATTTGAGTATCTGAAAAGTCTTATTTGTTACAGCATGGAATGGGCCAAACCATGATTAGAAAGGAAAATCACAATATTTATGTAAAAACCATTTAAAAAATGAAACTAAATTAGTATACCAATTTCAACTAACCTGTTCTGACAGCAGATGAGTGTAACAGGGAGTGGCAATTTGATAGTGTTGTGCATATATACAAGTCAAAACTCCAATGGAAGTTTGCACTTACGATACTCTTTAAGATTTGATAAAAAAAAAGGTGGGCTAAATTGGAGGGAATATTTCTTTTACCTTCATCATTGTTGTTGTAAGTACACCTACCCAGCTGCCCTCATCAAAGTAGAAATCCTTAATTTAATTTGTAAGAAAACATGCTTGCTCACCCATCTGCACCGAAAACAGAAATTACCATTCGTGAGACCATTAGAAAAACACAAACGGCTTGTTTGTCAACTTAAGGAAAGGGGATTGGGAGTTTACACGAGGGAATTGACGGTGAGATTAAGATGGGAATTTGATTTTTCATCCCAGTCTCTTGTTTGGTAGAGGTGGTGGAAATTGATAGGGAATTTAGTTGGAGATTAGATCATTAATGAAAACGGATGGCTGAGATTTGTTTATGTGAAGTAAAGGAGGAATTCCCTCCCAATTACCTGCCCCTACCCAGGTATTGAAAATGAGGGAGTTCATTCCTCAATTCCCCATCCCTATCCCACAAAAATTCCTATGTCCCCCAACCAAATAAAACAGTTAATAGCCTCATCCCTCTAAACTCCCAATCCCTCCTAAAAACTCCCTCCAACCAAACAGACAGAAAGATCAGATCACATGTTATAGAGGAGTGCAGATTGGAAGGTTTTGAACAAAGATGTATTCAGAAATACACATATTCTAACTTGTATGATCTAGATCTCCTCCACCTAGATCTTCTTCTGTAAACATGTTAATAAAGATTTACAATCTCCAATTATCTTTAGGGGAAATAAAGAAAGAAAGGTTTGGAACATGAGAATCACCTTGGATTTATGCACATTCATGTATGGTACGGTCATGCTCGTTGTTGCTTGCCAGCTTCTTGCATCCTTGTAGAATTCGTCATGATTCAACGCCAGTCCAAATAGATGCCTGGACGCTCGATTGCCTCGGCAGTGGAGGGGCACAGGACGCCAACCACATCAATATATGGAGCCGACATGGCTGAGGAAGCCGCAGAGCTCCACCATCTGCATCTGCTTGCCTCCCATGGTGCAAAAGCTGAAGAACTCGAAGAGGGGCGGCGACGGTGACAAAGGCTCAACGGTTTGGAGTGCGGGGGAGGCGCGAGCGGGGTGACTGCTCGGAGGCGGTGTGCGGCGTAAGTGATCGCGGAGGAGGGGGTGGGCGGCGGGGTAGGGCGAGCGGTGGAAAAGGCGGCTGCCGACGGTGACCACGGCTCTCCGGCGAGCACGCGCGAGGAGGCGACGACGGGGACACCGGCTGTCCGGCGGGCACGCGCGAGCAGGTGGCGGTGTAGGGTGGCCATCCTGCAGTTGTCCCCGTAGCATTGTCCGGCGGATGCTGGCGGATTGATTTCTGGCGCAGAGAGGCGCGGACGCGAGGGGGCCGCCGGCTGGCGGTGGGTGGCCTGGCGGTTTGGAGTGTGGGCGAGGTGGCCAGCGGGGGGAGGCGAAGGGCGCCCAACGGCGGTGAGCGACCTGGTGGGGAGGAGGCGCAGCAGGATGGCGGCCGGAGTTGGCCCCGGCAGTTGCGATTGGGATGAGACTGTGAAGAAGTGGATGAGGGGAACCGGCGGGCTTTGAGCGAGGAGGCGGCAGGGTAGGGCCCGCGACGGAGCCGCGCCCGGAGCCGGCGGCGACGGCCGGCTGCCCGGCGGGTGCGCGCAGGCGCGGGAGGCGGCGAGGCGCACTACCGGGAAAGAGGTTTGACCAATCGCTATTTTTTTTTTGTTGTTTGGCGTTCTTTTTTTTATCGGCCTTTTTCTCGTGCGCGACGTGGTCCGCCGATAGAGGTGGCCAAACGGGCCGGGCCAAAACGGGCGGCCCGAGGCACGGCGGAACCTGTAGCCGGCTCGGCCCGGCACGGCCTGCTACAGTAACGGGCCGTGCCGGCACGGCACGAGTAGCCGTGCCGTGCTTGGGCCGCCGGCCGAGCCCGCGGGCCGGCACAGCACGGCACGGCTACTGTAGTAAGTCCGCATCTCATCCTTCCGCAAGTCCGTATCTCATCCCTCCCAACTGACGGCCCAGCCCGCTAGCCGCCTCCGCAAGTCCGTTGAGCACCCCTCCTAGCTGATGGCCCAGCCCGCCAGCCACCTCCGCAAGTCCGCATCGCATCCCTCCGCGCCATTTCGGTTCCTGGGCCAACCGTGCCCCGTCCACGGCCCATTTTTCATTCACGGGCCCGTACTGACACGGCGGGCCACACGCATGCCGTGCCGGCACGGGCACGGCCCGGCCATCCACGGGCCGTGCTTGGGCCGGCGGCTCGGCACGTGGGTCGGGACGGCACGGCCCGTTTCATGAGCCGTGCCTAACGGGCCGTGCCGAAACGGGCCGTGCCGGACCCGTGCCCGTGCCGTGCCGGGCCGGGCCGCCCGTTTGGCCACCTCTATCCGCCGATGGCGCGGTTTGTTTGAGCCGGATGACAGGTGGGTCCTATGTGATATTGGATCTGAAGGATTGCAGGATTGGGGATGAACCTGTACTTTTTATATTAGTATAGATTACTCTTGTAATTTGTTGATGTTTCAACTGTTAAAGTTTGATGTTTCATCTATGAGAATAATACATTTCAATCATGATTAAACTGTGTTTCACCATTTAATAGTCTGAAATATTTTTTATTTAGTAGTGAAACTTTTTCGAGTAGCGGTAAAACATCACATGATTGGGAGTTGGATTTGTAGTCACCGTTAGATATCTATTTTCTTGTTTTTCCAAGAAACAAAACGGGAAATGCCAAAACACCACTGCAGTGCAGTCATCCATTCCGAAAATGCCGGCACCATCAAATTAGGTTACTTTTTAATATTAGAAACATGTGGATAAAAAAATTAATAAAAGAGATGACAAAGGAAAAAATATAGAAAATTAAGATAAAAGAATAGAAAACTAAGTTAATTGAAAAATCGTTAAAATAGTTAGAAATAAGTACAACACATTAAAAATATGTTTAGTACTTTAGAAAATCTTCTAAAAATAATTCTGAACTTCTCTTTGTTCTCGCCGCCATATATCTTTGTAGCTTTTGTGTAGAAATTACTCATAACTCCGAATAAGTGCATTTAAAACTTGTTAAAATCGTTAGAAATAAGAAGAATTCATAAAATGTGTAATGTCAGTTTTGAGTTTAAATATGATGTTTTAAATTATGATATGATTATTTAATTAGTTTCACTTTTTTGGACTTACTTAACATTTGTTTATTTTATGTATAGGTGGATCAGCAATGGATGTACACCACGGGCCAATGGTCGAAAGAGTTTCTTGAAGGCGTGCATTATTTTTTGAGTGTGGGCAATGTTAACATGCATAAGGGTTTTATATATTGTCCATACAAAAAGTGCAAAAACCAGAAGAAGTATTATACATCAAGAACTATTCATGCCCACTTGTTTGAGTCGGGGTTAGGGGCGGCAATTTCCCCCGTGGGGCATGGGACCCACCCCTACGGGGGCGGGGATGGGTGCTGATTTCGACCCGCGGGAATTCGGGGTCGGGGCCCTGGCCATGGGCGGGGACGGGGGCCGGGGAGGATAGCCACCCGCGGGTGACCCGCGGAGCCCCGAGGGTGTATATTAGACTATTAATACTACCATATTGCAAGCCAAAAAGCCCATCTAGCCTATCATATATAAACCAAACCCTAAATTCCCCACCCTCTACCCATCCTCCTTTCCTCACCAACCCAGCAGTCACTCTCCACAACCACCAGACCTTCCTCAGTTCCTCCGGCGGCGGCATCGGCAGCCAGGCACGGGCGACGGCGTACCAATCATAAATTTGGTAAGCCTGGAGTAATCATCGGCTTAGAGTCAGCATCGGCTTCGAAGTCCTGAGATTAGCCGATGAGAGTTATCAAGTCGTCGGTTGTTGGATTCTTTCTATATTCGGTTAAGGAAATTGATCTACTAAAGGAAATTTATCCAGAATAGACCGAGTTCAAAGAGAATGCGGCATGGCAAGTTATCTATTAATTAGGAATAGTTTGTTAGTTTCCTTTTTAACTTTAGGAAAGTGTGTTTAGTGTCCTATAAGGACTTTATGTTTTCCTTTTATCTTTAGGAAAGTTTCTTTCTTGTCCTACAAGGACTAGTATCTACCCATGGGTATAAATATGTACACCTGGGGTCATTGTAAACGATCTCTCGATCAATACAATTCGTCTCATCGCCACCTGTTACCTTTTCTATTTTATTTTATCGTCCGGCGGGACTTGGCACCTGACGCGGGGCTGCATCGGTGTTCGATCTCTGGCTAAGGGGTAAGTCCAATGTTTCGCCGGCCTAGGCAATTGTATCGTTTACGTTGGCGTCGTTCAAGGCTGCATCAGTACATTCGACCTCTTGGATTGCTCTGGTTTGGATGATATATTTGCCTACCTATTTATCATATGTCTCTGTTAATCTAGTCTTAGCATATCAATTTAGCTCTATCGGCTGCTTCTCGTTTTAGGGTTTCTGCCGGTATCGGCTAAATCGCATTGCTAGATTAGATTAGCTTAGACATCTACCACCCTGAAAACTCAGTCAACGGCTTGATTGTTTAGATATTATGTTTCTTTTCAATACTTAGTGTTGCATCAGTTAAGTTTGATCTACTATGTCATGCTTAGAGCCATAATCTCTAGCCTGCTTCTTGATTGCCAATAAGAGTTTCATCGGGGTTTCAGCTGGTGAGTTATCTGGACGTTGCATCGGCTCATAAGGATTGCATATACATATAAGTTGGATTTAGCCGATGACAACAAAGGTTTCACTGTTTAATCTAATCTTGTGGATTTCATGACATCGGACCTCCAGCCGATGTATACTTTAACCTTCGGATCAGTGCTTATTCTATCATATCAATGCTCGCCGATTGGTTTATACTGGACTATATTATTGTTATATTTTATTATCAGTAGCCAATTGCCTATATATCATTATTTGCTAAAGTGTAAGAATCTACATTGGACGTATAGCCGATTGCTCAAAACCCTATCGCTATCGGCTGGTATCGGCATCGGTTATTATCGGCTATCTGCTGGAACTACTCCATCGGCTTGTCAACCGATCGGCTGTTTTGTCTACTATTTGCATATCTTGTCAGTTGTAGGATCAAACTGACTGGCACGCCCGCATCTCACCAATCTTTGGACCTACACAGGAGCTAAGCAGATCTCTCAGGCCGGTGTGTTCGATTTTTTCATCAACACACGGGCGGTGGCAGCGGCTAGGCGCGTGTGCTGGCGGCGTTGGCCAGGCGGGGGTGGCGGCGTCAGCGGCTAGGTCACGGGCAGCGGCGGCCAAGTCATGGGTAGCGGTGGCGGCGGCGGCCAGGCGCCGGCGACGGCGTCTGTGGCCAGGGCGCGGGTGGTGGCGTCGACGGCGGCAACAGCCATCCGCGGGCGGCAGCGGCTCGCCTCGTCGTCTTCCAGCTCGCTGTCCTCGTCGTCGTCCAGCTCGCTCAGCTGGGTATTGCGGGGCCCCGCTCACCCGCTGGGTCCCCTGCGGGGATGGGGGTGGGTGGCGTTTTCCACCCGACCACCTCTGCAGGGCCGGGGTCGGGGGGAGAAGTCGGGGAGCGGTGGCGGGGGTGTTCTAGCCCAACCCACCCCCGATCCGCCCCGTTGCCAACCCTAGTCGGGGTTCATGCGTAGCTATAATTGCTGGACCTCACACGGAGAGTTTGGGGTTGCAATGGAAGAAGACGAAGAAGAAGACGAGAACATTCCGGACTAAGCTCAATGCGGTGGATTTTAAGAAAATATAACAGGTGAGGCAGACGGGGCTGTTGAAGATAACGACGATGCGGATAATCTTGGTCAGATGTTGCACGACATACACAAGGACTGCAAAAGTGAAAAGGAGGTCCAGAAATTAGAGCGTATGTTTGCGGACCACAAAGCGTCGTTGTACCCAGGTTGTGAACAGGGGCAAAAAAGTTGGGTACCACGCTGAAATTCTTGCAATGGAAGGCCAAAAATGGTGGGAGCGACAAGGCATTTGGTGAGTTATTGAAATTTGTAAGGAACATTCTTTCGGAGGGAGATGAATTGCCCGAAACAACGTACGAAGCAAGAAGGTAGTCTGCCCTCTAGAACTGGAAGTACAGAAGATGCACGCATGTCCGAACAATTGTATCCTCTATCGTGGTGAGGAGTACGAGAACATGTGTCACGTCCAGAAATTCCCGAATAGAATTCCAAGCAGAATGTGCATTAAAATCCCCGTCCAGGACCAGCCGAGGTACACAAACGACAATGTTGACCTTCAGATCCACGTCTTACAAACATCATAAAAGTCTTACAGAAATGCAGCGGAAAACAAAAGATAACTGGAGCTAATCCTTGACTTGAACTGCAGCGGGAACACCACTCCACAGGCATCCTCGACGGCACGGACGAAGCCTACTCCTCGGAGAACCCGCCATCGGACACATACTCGAGCTCTGAGATCGGGGGAAAATAGAGCAAGACTGAGTACTACCCACTGTACTCAGCAAGTCATACCGGAATGGGGGTATGGTGCATGGATTCAACAAGGGATAGCTAAGCAGGTTCATTTGCATAAATACTGGCATTTATAAACAGGAATTGAATACGAAAACAGTTGTAATAATTAAGCAGTATTCAGCATCCACTGTCCAACGCTACACCACGTTGCAACAGGCCCAACCAACCACCTATACCATCCAACTTCATTAGACTAACTAATGTGAGTCTAATCACGGTGAATCTGGTTGACCGC